GAGGGGCGGCTGGGAATATGCTCAGGCATGTCATTGAGTGTGTCTGAGCCCCGCTCGTTTCCGAATATGGTATCCTGATGTCCTGGTGGCTGCTGAAACATGAGGTCGCCTCCCTAGCCTCCAGAATGGGGCCAGAAGCGTCCCATCTTGTTGCACGGTGGGGGTGGGGGGTGGGAGCACGAGCCCTCCTCAGCTGGAAGGCACTGTTGGCAGACGCTGAGGGCCTCCTCGTACGCGGTGTCTGTGCAGAAGGTGATCCGTTGTAAGCCTGAGCAAAGCCCGAGTGGGACCCTTTGAGCCTGCGGTGCTCAGTGACCGCAAAAGGAAGCTCATCTGAGACGCAGGGAAGGAAAAGGAGGCTTCACCTCTGCCGCCAAGCCTGGAGTGGCGCACAAGCCCCTCTCTCGGCAGCCGAGCCGCTGTCGTCTTGCCACCCCCAGGAAGCACAGCCCCTATTCTTAGTGCCGGGCTGTCCTTTCTGGTGTGCTGCTGTGGCAACAATGCAGCCGCAGCTGCACTAGGAATCTTGCTTTGAAGGTCCTGTGTGTAATACAGACAGACTTGCTTACCGAGCAGAAGAGGACACGACGTGCTGGTGCGCCATTCGCTTCAGCCCTCACGAAACGGGGAGCCCACGTGTTGAACCCCTCCTGTGGGGTCCTGCTGGTTCCTCGACTGTGACTCTGCCCCGAGTGTGTGTGTATGCACGTGTATGTGTTTTTGGCCTTACCTTTTAGTACTAACTACAACCAGAGGAGGAGTTCCTTAACTAGAGAAGATGCAAAGAATGAGCTTGGATCTTTCCTCTCCTGAACCGCCGGGAGGGGTGCTACTTAGAGCCCTCCTGATGGTGTCCATAAGACTGCCGGGAGCCTGCACTCTCAGGAATCGTGAATGAGGAAGGATGGGACCAGCCTCACTCGTCTCCACGCTCAAAGAGTCGGGGGCAGGGGCAGGCTCACCGTGGCTAGGGGGCTCTCACATTTCCAGTGGGATCCCCCAGTGTCTCCGCTGCATCAGCACAGAAAACTGATATAGCTGACTCTTAAAAAAAAAAAAGTATTCTGAATTAAGTAGAGGGTATACGTTTCAGACCATCAACTCTGTATTCACCAGCTCCGCTCACTCACCCATCCACACCCCTCCCCCAGTGGAATAGCCCACCACACCCACCATCGTCCCCTGATTTCTCTTCTTCCTCTTAGGGGCACCCATCCCCCCGGGGGACCCTCCAGCGCCTGATCCTTTGGTATCTGAGTCTTTGGCTTGGTTTTGATCCGTGGAGTAGTGGTCTCAGACCATGTCTGCCCTTTGGTGACTGGCTGACTTCACCCGGCATGATGATCTCCGGGTCACCCCTGGCAATGAGGGGCTTCGTGGTTCCATCACCGTTTCTCAGTGATGCATCCTGTTCCTTTGTGTGACTCATTTCAACAACAAATGGGTGAGGGTGGGATGGCTCCGGCGACGTATTTTTAAGTAGTTAAAAGCATAATGAAATAATGCAGCGAGCGGGAAACACTTGCTGAACCTTGGGACTCTCTATAACCCTGATCTCCGACAACCTCTTGCCGTGACAAACAGCGGACCCTGGAGCCCAGAGAGCTTGTGGATTGGCTGAGGTTGCATACAGCCACTGGGAGTTGAAGTGTTTTCCGGGCAGTGCTGGGGCTCCAGCTACAGGGACCCTGTGCTCTCTGTGCCAGAGCACAGAAAGCTAGATGCCTCTACCCAACACACCTCACAGAGTGGGCAAAGACTCCGTTTGGGGACCGCGGCAGGGTTTGTCAGCTACTTTCTTGAGAAAGCTAAGGAGGACCATGCTTTGCTGCATGCTAAATAGTGTTCCACCTAGAGGGGGAGGGGGGGACTGATGAACACTTTTTTATTTTTAATGTTTTTATTGGGAGCTCATACAACGCTTATCACAATTCATATATACATCCACTGTGTCCAGCACATTTGTACATTTGTTGCCCTCATCATTCTCAAAGCATTTGCTTTCTACTTGAGCCCTCGGTATCAGCTCCTCATTTTTCCCCCTCCCTCATGAACCCTTGATAATTTACAAATTATTATTTTATATCTTACACTGCCCAACGTCTCTTCACCCACTTTTCTGTTGTCTATCCTCCAGGGAGAAGGTTATATGTAGATTCTTGTTATCAGTTCCCCCTTTCTACCCACCTTTCCTCCACCTTCCCGATATCTCCACTGGTGAACACTATTAAGTGGGGGTTTTGAAGAGAACATGCCACCAGAATTTGAGGGGTTTCATGGGAAATGCAGTCGCTTTGTGTGTTGAGAAATCTTGGGAGCTAGCAGCTGCCAGCTCCCTCGGGTGCCCACCGTGGGGCCTGGGAAAGTTGGAGCTGGATTTCTTGATCCATTTCTCCCCAGGTCCCTGGTAGCTTGCCAAATCAGTCTCGAGCCTTGAACTGACCCGTCTGAGCAGAGCCTCTTCAAACATACTTTTCTGGGGGAAAGTTGGTTTGTTTCCTAAAAAGCGGCAAGCCGTCATGTGCGTGACCAATGAGGCCTTGTCCACTGGACCCTCAGAGCTGACTGCGCGGACGGGCCCCTGGTTTCTCTGGGCTGTCTTGTAAGCACCTAGAAGGCACCAGTCTGGGGCAAGGGCACGGAAGCCCTCACGCTGTAGAAGGCCCACACTCCCTGCCCCAGAGGGGCTGAGGACAAGCGGCACAGTGAGAGTGCTTGCCTTTCCTTCCCTCATCCTGCCTCACTCAGGCTGTGTGGCTTTAGGACTGGCTGGTTCACCTGGCCCTCACAAGCCCCGCCTTCTCCCTTACATTCCCCAGACAACCCTGAAGCCCTGGCCTGAGGAGTAGAGCTCAGCTGGGCAGGAGAGCAGATGGAGTGCCGCCCCACGGTGCGTGACGTGACGTCACCAGCCGTGCTGTTCTGTGTCCCTTAGGAAGGCTCCTAAGAGGACCTGCTGTTTGTCACAGGGAGATAGGCACAGGGGTCCAGTGTAGTGTGTGTGTGTGTGTCTGTGTTTCCTGGGGGCTAACCAAGTGGGTTGGAAGTGGGAGCGCTTGCAGCTGTTGGTCCTGATAGGGGTCGGGGAAGATAGGCTCACACCCAGAGGTGCACATGGAAACCACACCCCCCTGAGGACTCCCTTCATCTCAGCTACCTCGTTCTGTGACCGTGCCCCAGACCTCCCCCACCCCCACCCCCCAGATACCACCTGCCCCCTCAGGCGGCCTGCAGCCATGGCCTGTGTTTGAGGACATCGGAGTAAGGTCTCACTGGGCCCACAAGGGGCTTCAGAAGGTTTGTGGGAAAATACACATGGTGTGTGAAGAGAGAAAGGACGATGTCGCGTGCGCGCTGTGAGAAGCTCTCAGGCATTCTCTTGCATTTTGTTTCTTTGAATTCGGGTTACATTAGTGAGACCGGATCGTTTCGGAGCACTTAGCTGTGTGGCGTTTAGGTTCTTCGCTGTCAGTTTGGATGCCATCCAGGACTGGTGGACATTGCTCTGCTCCGGTTTGAGCCCCGATGAAGCATGCTGTGGTGAACATTGCCATGCTTGGGACAAGAGTTGCCCGGGGGTGCGTGCCTGCAGGTTGGTGGCACTGGCTTTACTGAACGATGCCAGGCTGGCTTCCAGAGCAGGGGAGCTGGTTGTGCCTCCCGCCGTCGGGGTATGAGGTTGTCACCGCTTCATGGGCATTTCTCAATGACAGGTTACTGGCGAGGCTGACAACCTTCTTTTCTGTGGATTCATTGGCCTTTGTGTTTCCCCTCCTGTTTAGGGTTTCCCCCTGGGCCCATTTTTGTTCTGTGGCCTCTGGCTTGTAGGCACGCTGGATCTATTCCTGGGAGCAGTAAGCTGGTAGGGGCTGTATGTAAAACCAGCTGTCCCCAGAATTAGAAGCTAGGCATCACACTGCCTCCTCTCCTTCCTCTGTGCCAGTGTCGTATGTGCCCTGGCTGGAACAGTCTGTCTCTAACATGCCTCCTTACCTGACCCTTCCCTGCCCGATTCTCTTGAAGAGCCTGTCTTCCTGGCCTGGGGCTTCCTTGCAACCGGCTCTTCCAGTCCCCTCTAGACTGGGATCCATCCCCACGGGATAGAGCCCTTTTATACTGGAGCTTCCCACCCCAATTAGGAGTCATTCCTGTGGAGCAGGGAGGCATAGTTGCTGATGTGGAGGGGTTTGTGAGAACTCTGGCTCGATGTTTTTTCACCTCTCCGAGGTCTCTGGTTTCTCTTGAGCTCGCCTCCCCGAATCACCACCCCTGTACCCAGACAGCTCACAGCCTTAGGGCCGTCACCCAAGCGCTCAAGATCCCCTACAACCAGCTCCCCTCATTTGCTTTCTCTGATGTCCTTCACCGTGACCGTGGACTCCATGAAAGAGATTCTACGTTCCATCAAAGCACTGCGGAGACAATGTGCTCTTAACTGATGCTGGCTGTTGAGTGGAATGTGCTGACTTTAGGGTAAGAGACCAGACTGAGCAAGAATACTAACCTCCTTATTTTGTCGGACTGTATTCTGGTCACCTATTGCTGTGGGGAAATGAACAAAAACAAAATGGTTTGCCTCCTGACTGGTTTCTGCAGGGCTCGGTGGGGATGGTTCACCTCTGTCACACAGCTTCCCTGAGGGTGACGGCTCACTTCCACACTGGTGCACACACACAGGTGGAGAGCTGGTGCTGGCTGCCAGCCACGGGCAGTTCTTGGTTTTTGTGGCCTGCTTGGGCCTCTCTCCAACGTGGCATCTGAGTTCTGAGACTAGAGTGTTCCAGGGGGTAGAAGCTGCTTGACTCGGAAGACGAGGCTCGGAAACTGCACAGCATACATCTACTGTGTTCTATTGGTCAAGTAGTCACAGAGCCCCCCCACCCCCCCAGGTGTAAGAGGAGAGGGCACCTAGACCTCTGCCTCTCAATAGGAGGGAGGGGCACCAAAGAATGTGTGGCCCTCTCTAATCCACCACCTACTCTGTCCCGACTCTCCCTTAGCGCTCACGGCTGCCGCAGGAAGAGGGAAGCTGGAGGTCTGTGAGCTACTGCTGGAGCACGGAGCGGCCGTGTCCCGGACCAACAGGCGAGGGGTCCCACCTTTGTTTTGTGCGGCACGGCAGGGGCATTGGCAGGTACTGTGTGGGCCCTGGGATGCTGCAGAGACAGTGAGTGGGGGCAGACTATCCTGCTGTCCCGACAACAGGAAGAGTACTGTGCCAGAGGCAGACACTCCGGTCTGTGCCCTTGAAGAAAGAATTCTCACTGGGGTGGTGTTCTATGAGCTGTCTCTCTGGGTACCTGCAGGCCCCCAAGTAAAGTTCGGTTTACAGGTAGTAGGACCCTGAGGCTGTGAATCCCTAGGAAACTTCACTCTAAAATGCCTCTCTAAAGCCTAAAACACCCACCCAGCCCTGAAGCTTACCAACTTAGGTCACTTGCAGGGAGTGCCCACCCGCCCCCTAAATCTTTAATCTCCAAATCACCCTTCCATATGCACCCCCACCTTAGTTGCCTTCCCACGCCCCCAGTGCCTCAAGGTGTGCTCTCGCTGACCTGACTGGTGGCCACGTCCTCCCCATGCCTCTTCCTGCCTGGCGTGGGGGCCAAGTTCTGTAGACCTCGTGATGACCTGGCACAGGACAACCAGAGCAGATGTATGGGGGAAGGCGCTGCCCAATGGCAGATGCCTGACAGGACGGGTGGTACAAGCCCTGCGGGCTGCAACGCTGAAGGGGGAGGTTGGGGGACAAAAAGGCCATGTTCTGCTCTCCTGGCTGGGGCAGGCGGGGCTGTGAGTCTGCGCGTCTCTTGCAGATCGTGAGGCTGCTGCTGGAGCGCGGCTGTGACGTGAACCTGAGCGACAAGCAGGGCCGGACGCCCCTCATGGTGGCTGCGTGTGAAGGGCACCTGAGCACCGTGGAGTTCCTCCTTTCCAAAGGTAGCCTCGCAGCGGCCGACGAAGAAGACGTTGGGGGCTTTCTAGCTCCCGATTTTAAAAGGGTCGTGGTTGTGTTTGGCAGGAAAGCTTTTCAGCGGCCCCAGGAGGCTCGAGGCTAGGTCGCGAGCCCCCAGGGACCCCTTGCTTGGCTTCACAGTGTATTGTTGCCGTCAGGGGCAGGCCAGCCGGTTCCCGCTCTGGTGGCCCCACGTCGAGTAGAAGGAAACACACCGGCCACCCGGCCCTGCGTGGCCATCCTCTCAGTGGTCGCCGTGTTGGTTGGCCACTGGTCCATCCATGTCGTCTGGGCCTTCTTCCTCTTTCTCACTGACCTCGGTCTTACTAACAGGATGTCCTCCTTCGGGGACTCGTCCCCCCTCCTCATTTTGGCCGGTGGGGGGTGTGGGGGGGCGGGGGCATGGGTTTCGAGTGTCCCAGCACTTGATGGACGGGTCCCCTCTTTGGGCAGGGCTGGTGGTGGTGAGGCCGTCTGCTTTGGGCTCTCCTGCATGAAGCCTGCGTCCTGGAACTGGGCTTTCCTTCCAGGCGCCGCTCTGGCTTCTCTGGACAAAGAGGGTCTGTCAGCGTTAAGCTGGGCTTGTCTGAAAGGCCACAGAGCCGTGGTCCAGCATCTAGTTGACGAAGGAGCCGAGATAGACCAGACGGACAAAAACGGCCGCACACCTTTGGACCTGGCCGCCTTCTACGGGGATGCGGAGACGGTGAGTGCGGCAGATGACCGAGCCTCCGGCTGCGGCCCGGGGCTAGTGTCGCCAAGGATGCCCACAAACTGGACCCGAGGCGTGGTCAGCAGGAATCGTGTGTTGTGAGAAAGCTCTCCCTTCCCTTGAATTCCACAACAGACGCACAACCTGCTCTAGGACCGAAGCCACCCTGGTAGCAGATTCCTAAAACAGCAGAAGCCATGATCATGAACTATATATACAACAAAAACCAACCAAAAACCAACACACTGCTATCGAGTCAGTGCCAACTCATAGTGACCCATGTGGGTTTCCAGGACTATAGCTCTTTATGGGAGTAGAAAGCCCATCTTTCTCCCTCTTCGCAGCTGGTGGTTTTGAACTGCTGACCTTGAGGTTAGCAGCCCAGTGTGTAACTGCTATCCCACCCCATGACAGAAACACTCATATGCACATGGTTTCATTTTCTCGTCATTCACTTCCTCTCCATCCCAGCACCTCCAGGCAGGGGGCCTCTGGCCTCCAGCCCGTGCTGCGAGTCAGGCCTCTGTTCTCGCCCCCGCAGGTGCTGTACCTGGTGGAGAAGGGCGCTGTGATCGAGCATGTGGACCACAGCGGCATGCGTCCTCTGGACAGAGCCATCGGCTGTCGAAACACATCTGTGGTGGTGACGCTGCTGAGGAAAGGGGCCAAGTTAGGTCAGTGAAGGCCGCCTTCGTTCAGGGGGGAGCGGCCTCGGTGGGGCTAGCTTCTGACTTTATAGATATGAGGAGCTTCGGAAAACTTGGAGGAATGCTCCTCTGTTGTAAACTTGGGAGCTTTCACAGCCCCCAGGTTAAGAAGCGCAGGTCAGATGTAAGGGAACTTTCCGCTTCTAGGGCTCCTCTGCCCACAGCCCCCCCAAGCGCTTAGTGCCCTGGGCATTGTGTGCAGAACTGGTAACCAGCTGCCATCCAGCTCGATCCCTCTGCCAGCAGCCCCCGTGTGTCAGAGGAGAACCGTGCTCCGTGGGGTTTTGGGAGCTGATTGGGGTGGTAGGTGAGGGTGGGATGGACTGGAAGTGCCAACCTTTCGATGAGCAGCCCGAGCACACGACCGGTTGGCACCCCGGGCACTCGCTGTTGGGGGGAGAGCGGAGGCCAACGTTGGAGGGGTCTGTAGTGGCAGGTGTTAAGAATGCCCAAGTTGTGTGGCAAGGGAAGTTAGGTGGGGCCCCACCGAGCAGCCATTGTGTCTGAACTCGCCCTCTGATTCTCATTGACTGCGAAGGTTGAGGCCTGCTCTTCCGGAGGGGTCACCGTGAGCTGGGCAGGACTGTCACCCAGGACGGTTTGTCCAGGGGGAAGGCCACATGACCCAGTGGGGACAAGGTGGGGGTACTTCTGAGGTAAGGCATGCGGGGACTCTGAGTACGGAGACCCCCTGCTATGTGCAGCCTGAAACCCCAGTCAGCATGAAATGTAGTGCAAGCTGTTTGGCCAGCGGTACTTCTGGGAGGGGGCGAGGAGGAAAAGACACGGTGTTGGCTGGAACGTCCAGAGCGGTTAACAGTGTCTGGGAGTCCTCTCTGAGCAGCTCCACATCTGACCTGCTGTGAGTGGCATCTCCAAAGTGCAATAGCAAGTGTCAGCTCGGCAACAGGTATGGGAGTAGCGATACCGGGAGGGCAGGGAGAAGAGAGGAGGAAGGGGAACCGATCCCAATGATCGGCAAAACCACCACCTCCCTGCCCAGGAGGACAAACAACAGAAACATGGGTGACGGGAGACTGCAGACAGTGGAAAATATGAAAACAGTAATAATTCATAATTCATCAAGGGGGGCGGGGGGAGGGGAATAAAGGAGCTGATACCAAGGGCACAAATAGAAAGAACCGTATATACCAGTGTATAAGCCGAGTTTTTCAGCACATTTTTAATGCAGTTTTTGTGGTAAAATTAGGTGCCTCAGCTAATATGCCAGTTGGCTTATACTTGAGTGTATACGGTAAATGTTTAGAAAATGATGATGCCAATATATGTACAAATACACTTGATAAGGAATGTTTTAAAGAGCCCCTAATAAAATACTTTAAAATAAATAAAAATAAAAGTATATTGCCAGCCTTTACAAAAAGAAAGAAAGAAATAGTGTCAGGGTTCAGATTTCATCCGGGGCAGCCAGGCCCCCAGAGTCCCACGTGTTGAGAGGACCCATGAGCCTGAGCGGTGGGGCCAGAGCTCAGGGGTCGGCCTCAGACCAGATGCTGACAGCACAGGACTCCCTGACTGCCTGTGACGGTGGCGCTGCAGGAAGCTCTGGGCCATCTGGAAGTGTGCTTTGGTTGATCTCCCCCCGAAGTTCCCATCGCAGGGATGCCTCCCGGCTGCTGTGATGCTCTAGGTCCCCAGGACTCTTCACTTGAAGGGAATCAGTGCCAGGCACCGTCCCTGCCCCACAGTGCCTGGTTCAGCATAAAGCCAATGAGAAGGGACCAGACTCACAGGTACCCGCCCTCTTGTCTTCAGTCTGTCCGCAGGCAGCTGGAGGGGGCTGCCGAAGCCGGGTCCCTGCGGCCGTGGGCTCTGCTCTCTCTGCGGCTTTAGTGGCCCCACAGACTTGAGCTCCTTCCCTCCGAGACCTCTAAGTGGATGCGTGTTTATTTTGCAGGAAACGCTGCCTGGGCGATGGCCACTTCCAAACCTGATATTTTGATTATCCTTCTGCAGAAGTTAATGGAGGAAGGAAATGTGATGTACAAAGTAAGTGGTGTCACCCTTTCCTAGGGCTTGGTGACTGATGCGGGCAAGTCACTCATGTAGTGCGCTCGGGCCAGAGCTGTGCTGTTGCTCAGAGACCATCATGCACCTTTGTTTTCAGAGCAGTTCCCAGAGTTGCTCACCTGGCCTTTCCCATCTCAGTGGCAGAGTCTGCAGGTATCTGACAAACCATTCTCGAAGTTTGTCACTAGGACCTATTGAAGGAGGCCAAGTGGCCTCCAGGTACATTGGTGCATCCCTCTTCCCACTGACAGCATCCGGGTCCAGCCGTGTGACACTGAGACACTTGAGAACAGGAGTACCCAGGAGACGCACCCAGAAGCAAATAACAAGACTGCTTTACGATCTTATTTTATTAAATACTCATAAGCTTCTGGAATTTCGCAAGCTGCTGTTGCTTAGAGACTGGGCTAGTCTTTTATCTTTCATTTTCCATGGGAAACACAAGTGTGACGTGCACATTAATAAACTACAGTAGTAAAATAGGATATCATTTAGAGCAGGAGTCGGCAACCTCGCGCCTTTACATAATCGCTTTCATTTGTATTGCCTGCAAACGGTCAGATAATATCTTTGGAGACAGTAAATATTGTAGGACTGCCTTGCTGTGAGGCACAGAAGCAACTGTACATGGACGGTGGCCCTAACGAAGGGGTGTGGCTAGGTCCCACTTGAACTTTATTTGTGAAATCGTTAGTGGGCCAGGGCTGTTGGCCAGTCTGCCAAATCCTGGTTTCTGTCGATGCTCAGGTTAGTTACGTAGGTCACAGTTCTTCCGGGTCAGTATGACCCAGAATGTAGAATGAAATGTAGAATTAAAACTACATTATGCAGAGAAAAACCCCCCAAAGTGAATTATGACTGGTGAGGACCTTTTTTATTATTCTGTGAAGCTGCTCTATCTGTTATATTTTGGGTTTTTTTCCCCTTTCTTTCTTTAATAATAGCAAATCAATAGGCATATAGCATGAGCCAGCAGGGTTCCTGATTTGGAATCGGTTTGAAATTGAGTTCAGAATCCATGTTGTTGTGTCCTTGAAGTGGTTTTAATATGAATTTGGGCAGGCAATTATGTCAGAAACACCAGGCCATTTCCCGCAGGCTTCCTCCCTGCTGTGCGATAGAAGTGATGGAGCAAATGGATTTCTTTAGCCTTGAAAATGAAGTGTGGGGCGGTTCTGAGGTTTACAGCCAGCGCTTTAGTTCCTCGTCGAAGAGAAATGATTATTCTCCAGCAGGCTCCTGTTTGTCCACAAGACTCGGCTTGCCTTAGTTACAATGGCGTCCTCTCGTTTTTCATTGGAATCCTGTTACATGTAGAGATAAAGTATCTTTAGAGGCGGGGGCTCATTCAGGAGATAATTTCCAGGAACAAGGCCCTGCCAGACGGTCAGCTGCTGCCTTCAGTGGGGAGTTGCCAGGTTGGCCATGTACAAAGACCACCTTGCACACGGTCGCCTTGGTCCCTGGTGCAGCATATTCTGCACGCAGTGGGGAGGACGGAGACGCTGAGGCGTGGGTGCCCTCGGTCCGAGGTTGGCCCTTAGTCATTTAGAGACCCCCTGGCACTGTACTGGTTTCGTGTGGGCCAGGGTCCTGGGGCTGGGGAGCCTCTAACGGCGCGTTTCTGTGTTGTCGAATCCTAGAAAGGGAAGATGAAAGAAGCCGCCCAGCGCTATCAGTACGCCCTCCGGAAGTTTCCGCGCGAGGGGCTCGGAGAGGACATGAGGCCGTTCAATGACTTACGAGTGTCCCTCTATCTCAATCTGTCTCGCTGCCGGAGAAAAACAAACGTAAGTGGTGCCCCCGAGTCCCGCCCCAGGCCCGAGCTGGACTCTGATTCCCCAGGCCGCCCGCAGGCCCGGCACGTTTGCGCATTTATGTGAACCGGCAGATGGGAATGAGCACCATTTTGCTCATCGTCCCTGCCTGCCTCAGGATGTTGAGAGAGTGCTTGGGTCGAGAGACCTCTGCTCAATGCGGAGAAGCGAATGCAGGGATTCTCTGCCCTCCGCAGTCAAGTCGTTCAATGCCAGCACTGTCGCAAGCAGGCCATCCCCATCGTGAAGCTTGACGCGGAATCTTTTGGCATCTGCCTAGTGTTCAGGACCGTGGCTCCATGGCTGGGCCAGACCGAAAACCGAACTCCCTGCCGTCGAGGCAGTTCTATCGCACAGCCACCCTGCGGACAGGGCGGAACTGCCCCTGTGGGTTTCCAAGACTAACTCTTGATGGGAGTAGAAAGCCCTGTCTTTCTCCCTGGGAGTAGCTGGTGGGTTAGAACTGCTGACCTTGCAGTTGTGTGTGTCACCGCTCCGATAGCGTAATTCATGGAGGTTCGTTTCAGGGATCCTTCCTTCCTCCTTACCTTTTCTCTTCGCCCCTCCTGCCCGCCCTTCTTTCATACTGTTCCTCTGCATCGCTCCACGCCCCCTCCTGCTCAGACTTCCTCCTCTGCCTCCTGTCAGTACCCGGGGTACCAGATATGCTGCCTCCTCCTGGTGGGCTGCTTGGACCCCCACACACACCCGTTCTCTCCTTGAGCATCCGTTCTTGCTTCTCTCGTGGACCCTCTGAAAGACCTCAATAGGCAGTAATCACCCCCGGGGAGCAAACCTGAGAGACTGGACATGGACCCACCCTCATCCTGCCTTCATCCCTCCTTCATCCTTGGCCAGTGACATCCGAAGTGCCTGTTACCTTTTGAACAAACCTATTATAAAAACAAACAGAAGAACAACCCTGTTATAAAAGTTATAATTATGTTTCAGTGTTTTTAAAAAAAACATTACATTTATTTTGACCTTAACCCCAGGACTTCGGCATGGCAGAAGAATTTGCTTCCAAGGCTCTCGAGTTGAAGCCCAAGTCCTACGAAGCCTATTATGCCAGGGCCCGGGCAAAGAGAAATAGCAGGTACGCGAGAATGCTTCCTTCTCCTTTCCCGCTCACTTGAGCCTGCCTGCAGCATGAACTGCCTACGGCCCCCTGTGGGCTCACGGGCATTGCCCACTAGAGAGAGGAAGGGGCAAGGCTGGAGAAGGGGTGGGGCAGTGACCCAGAGAACGGTGCCCATGGCCAGGGAGGGGATGGTGGGCGAAGGTCCAAAGGGCCGCCCTGACAGGAATCGCTTGGATCTGGTCTCAGACTCAGGCGAGTGGGTCCTGGCTCTGTGGGAAGGGGTTCGGACTGCCTCCCCCGAGCCCGGCTCCTAGGAAGGGTTTCTGTGCTGTGACAGCCAGAGCATGCTCACGTGTCACCTGCCCTCCTTGTGCTTGCTCCCTAAAGGCAGTTTGCAGCAGCGCTGGCTGACCTGCGGGAAGCCGTGCAGCTCTGCCCCACCAACCAGGAGATCCGGCGGCTCCTGGCGCGCGTGGACGAGGAGTGCAGGCAGGTGCAGCGCAGCCAGCAGCTCAAGCAGCAGGGCCCTGCGCCGGCCGCGCCCCACGACTCGGATCACGAGGAGGACGCCTCCACCCCGGACTTCAGCGACCCCTTGCCTCTGGAAGAGGCCGAAGAGGAAGAAACTTCCCCCCGGGAAGAATTGAGTCCCCCGCCACCGCCAAGGCCCCAGCCGTGCTCCTCGGGCCCCTCCCCGTACATCCGAAACCTGCAAGAGGGCCTGCAGTCCAGAGTCAGGCCGGTGTCGCCGCAGCTTCGGGCGGCCCCGGGCAAGGCCCTCCGGGAGCCGCTCGCGCCGCCGGGCCTGACCATGCAGCCCTCCAAGCAGGCGCAGATCGTGAAAACCAGCCAGCACCTGGGCTCGGCGCCGCCCGCGGGGAGAAGCGGCAGCGTGAAGCTGCCGGGGGCTTCTCCGAACCCTCCCCCGAGCCCCATGCCAGGCAGACCCTCCGCCTCCACCGGCCACCGGGGCCCGCACGTCGAGGGAGTGGGTCCTTGCCCCGCGGCCACCGGCGCTGGCCCTTTTGGGGATCGACTGGGCTCTGGCCCAAATGCCCAGCTGCCACGCAGTGACAGTGGCACCGGGTACCCTTTGCCAAGCAAGGTCAAGACTGCAGAGAGGCTTGTGTCTCATGGCTCCGTGGCCGGGGATGTCACCCCGCCAAGCCAGGCCGGGCCAGCTTCCCTGGCCAGCTCGGGCTCGTCCGACTCTCCTTCCAGCAGCATCAAGATGTCCAGTTCAACCAGTAGTTTGGCGTCCAGCAGCAGCTTCTCTGACGGCTTCAAGGTCCCGGGAGCGGATGCTCGAGTTAAGGAGAAGGTGGCTAACCAGGGCCCCGGCGGTCCCGGGGAACACAGGCCACGCACCACCCCGTTCATGGGCATCATGGACAAGACGGCGAGGTTCCAACAGCAGGGCCACCCTCCCAGCCGCACCTGGCACTCGCAGGTGGCCGAGGGCCTCCTGAGCAGCACATCACCTGCAGCTGGCCTGCAGCCCTCAAACTCAGAGAGGCCCTCTCTCAGACCAACGGGGGGCTATGGTAACCCAGCCAAAACCTGCTCCGTTTCTACCCTGGGTGGAAGCGTCCGCAACGGGGCCCCGGGGAAGGAACTAGAAGAAAAGTGCCAAATCCCAGTCCACTGTCAAGAAGGCAGGGTGGCTAAGACGGTTTCTCATCTGTACCAAGAAAGTCTCTCCAAACAGCAGCCTCACATCGGCAGTGAAGCCCACAGGAGTCACCTCTCTTCAGCAAAACCAAAGCGATCGTTCATAGAGTCAAATGTGTGAGCCTTAGAGAGACCCGGGGCACAATCGGAAAACTATTGGCTCCTGGTGGTGAATAATCATTAAATGTTTTGTTGTTGCGGCGTGAGTGGGTTGTTTTTTTTTTTTTAATCAGAAAAATGCCTTTCAGCCTCGCTTCCCCTCACCCCCCTTATTCTCTGGAGTGGCTCTGGTGGCACTGATCTTTTGGAAATAGGAGAGAAAATGTCTTTCAGAAACAGCTGCAAGTCACCATATATAAGAATGTTAACCTGATCAAAGATTATCAGCTACAACTCACTATGCTTATGAAATTAGAAATGAAAATGGGCCAAAATATTGACTCATGCTTTTCTCTTAAACTAGCTGTTGTTGTTTTTCACGGCCCTCTTAGCTTTGCTGTGTGGTAAAATCTTAATACTTAGAGAACAGAAAAGTTTACTGTTAAAGAATGATACGGTCCACTCATAGTATCCGTAGGGTGGACTTTTCAAGTGACAGTTCCACTGAGTCAAAACTATAATACAGAAATTCAGACTGAAAAAAAATAAATTCAGACTAGACGCCTAACCGAATAGAAGTACAGCTGTAAACATAATACACTTCATTATTTTTTCTCTGCAAAGCAAAACAGAACACCCAAATACTGTTCCCTTCATACCTGTTCTCTTAAAAGGATTAAACACTTATTTCAGTGTTGTGGCTCTTATTCAAACTATTTCTACAACACCTTTTTGGAAGTGTCATTTTTCAAGGTGTTTGTGACATTTGGAAATAAGTGTAAGACATTTGGAATCAAGATTGGTGGTCGAGATGGGTTTGGGTAGAAGACAGGCCAGCAAGCTTTAGAGCTTGTTAAGTTGGCTCTTCACTGGCTCCCAGACACTCCTGGGACACGCCTTCCAAGGAAGGTCTTTCACAGACGATAGTTGACTTGGATGCTTAAGGTGTGGTTGGTTGTTGCTTTTGTTTTGTATAACCTCATTACAGTCATGTGCTGTACATATTAAATAACCAAGTTTTATCCAGACTTGTAAATATAACTGTTTTAAAGTAGTTAACCTTAAAATAATGTCCAGTTATATATTTGCATGTTGTTTGTAAGCTTCATCCATGCTGGTTGTTGCACTGAATGATAGGATAGCATGTTAACAGTATACCAGGAACAGCACTTTATCACATTTATATGAACACCATTGAGGTGCTACTTAAGTCCAAGCTGATGTATTATTCGTTTGTAAAGGTAGGTACAGGAATGAGCCTTGGTTTCAAGGTATTTTTATATGAAAATGGTGTTATTGGAGGATGTTAAGATGCTAGTTTGAGAGAGGGGAGTGCACTTGTTTTATATGTTGGGATGTGAGAGTTATTTTCTAGAATTGGGGAGAAGTTCTATATTTACAGAATGTTTTTTAAAATGACACGTAGTTGTAAAGATGTTAACCGGGAAGCATCCAGCAGTGTTTTGTACAAGTAGGAATTTCCTGGTGTCTTCCTTCAGCATCTGTTCCTATGTACAGTGTACTTTAAACAAATAGCTTTATAATTTTTATAAGCTTTTTATGAGTTCTGCATATATAACTAGTATGGCTTATTTATTGTTTTCTTTAGTATTTGTGGAAGTCTTTTGTCATGTAGTTCCTGCACAACTACTGTACTTTTCCACATGGAATAAAGACTCTGAACTGATTTGTTTGGCATTAAATGAAACAGTGGGTAGAGAATGTTCTCCTACTACTATCTGCTTTAGTTCTGCGTGACCCGGTACCCCAGATGCCACATTCCCCTAAAGTTCATTTATGTCTCAGCTAAGTTCATGTGCTTTTCAGGTTCAAAGAACTGTGCTCTCTTGAAGGTTGGCAATTTGAACCTGCTCAGCAGTGCCAGGGAGGGAAGGTGTGGCGATCTGATTCTGTAGATTACAGCCAAGAGAACCTTACGGAGTTCCAATACGTAGTACGTGGAGTCGCCAAGCATCTGAAGCAAGTCAAGTCCACCACAGCAAGTTCAGTGTTCTTTAATGAAGGTATGAGAATTGAGCCATGTTGTATTAATGATAAAATTCTGATTAGGAATCCTAGGCTAAACATCCCCTGATATTAAAAACAAAAACCTGTCTCCATTAAGTCAATTCTAACTCATAATTGTCCTATAAGATGGAGCCTAACTGCCCCTATAGGCTATACACTCGTTACAGCAGACTGCCACAGCTTTCTCCTCAGGAGCAGCTGGTAGATTTGAACTACTAACCTTGTGGTTAGCAGGAAGATGCTTAACCCAGTGCACCACCAGGGTCATTTCCTTGATGTTACTACACGTTATTGGCTGCTGCTGTTGCTAGCAAAGGTAAGTTATTTTCCATCTTATTTAAAGCTATATAAGTTAAAGGGTAATATTAAAAAAAAACTTGGCAGGAAAAGAATGTGTTGCTGGCCCAACTCTTGTCATTACATTTAAGTTAAAGGGTAATTAAACCCCAACCAGAACCAGCCTGACCCCCACCCTGGAAATGTGTGCCACAGAGAACAACCATCTGGTGGGGGAAAGGAACCGACCTACCGTACCCAGATGGCAGTTGCTAGCAAAGGTAAGTTATTTTCCATCTTATTTAAAGCTATATAAGTTAAAGGGTAATATTAAAAAAAAAACTTGGCAGGAAGAGAATGTGT